GACTCCTCTCCTCCCGCTGGGAGCTGGGGTGAGGGGTGCTTGGGTCCCACCAAGCCGCGGCTTGTATCTTACCCCCTTCACAAGGCACTGGGTTCTTGCAGGTGTGGATGTGATCTGGCTGTTGTCTTGTGTCTTTTGGTCTCTCTTTTAGGAAGAGTTGTATTTGTTGTATTTGCAAAAATATATGAGGTTTTGGGAGGAGATTTCCGCTGCTCTACTCACGCCGCCATCTTGGCTCCAGCCTGACTTTGACATTTTTAGTATACAACTGAATCCATTCCAGGTGGATGGCTGGGATTCTAATAAAAGAGGATGTACAAAGCCTTAAAAAGCCCAGGACTGGGATTTGCAGTTCTAGTGAGCTCTTGGGAGACTCCCAGCTGCCATTAAGCTCAGAGATCTATTGATGATGATTAGGTAGGTCCATTCACCATGGAGCTGTGCTCTAGAACCATTGACCCATCTTGGAAGGAACACAGGAACTGGCGGGAGCCATCTGAGTTCCAAACCCAGGGTTTTTATCCAAACAAGGGAGAAAAGGCAATGTCCAGCTGGCAAAGACCTGGAGGCTTCCTTGAGCAAAAGAGGCTTCCCATCTCCAGGATCTTCTTTCTTCCATTCAACAAAAAGGTGGAGCTGGAGAGGCAAATATCTGTAAGACCCTCACAAGGCAAGCTTGATAAAAAAGTAATTGTGACCCATCATCAGAGGATGATGACTGAGAGATGTACATGGTGCCTGGAGAGCATGGGACAGGGCAGTGAGCCCCATCTGTGTTGGTCGGTGGTAACAGGCAGAGACTGAGTTGAGTCTTGAAGAATGAGCAGGAGTTGGCAGTGTGGACACTGAGTGTCCTGAGCAGATGCAGTGTGTTTGAGGCTGAGAGATCTAACAGAAAAGGTTTTTTTTTTTGACAGGAGGCACCCTGACTCCTTTCTCTATAGACCCAACTCCTTACCCCGTAGCTGTGGGTTATGTGCTACTGCCACCTAAAACTGCTTGCTCTTCTCAAACAATTGTATAAACAGGCCTTCCTATATGCATTCAGCTGGCAGAGTTGAATGTTTTTTCAAGTGCTGATTGTCCATCCTTCTGAGGATTGCCTGTTCTGGTCCTTTGTCTATTTTTTTATTGTTTGCCTTTTTACTGTTTACTTGTACCAATTGTTTACATATTCTGGACACTCATCTTTGGCCTTTTATACTCTTTGCAGACATCTTCTCTCCCTGTTTTCTTGTCTTTGATTTGTTTGCTATCTTTCTGTCATTCAGAATTGTCGACACTTCAGGTACTCAAAATTATCTTTTTATTAAAAATCAATTGCTACTTTCTGTATCAGGTTCAAGAAACCCTTCACTAACTTGCCAACATAAAAATCTCCTTTTGTAACTCACCCAATGGTGTAAAATTCTGTTTTTTCCTATTAGGTTTTAATACATGTAGGATTACATTTGATATGAGATAATGATCTAGCTGGTTTTTTACAATTAGGAATCCATTGTCACAGCATCATTTATTGAAGGGCTTATTCTCCCTCCCTAGTTTGTATCACTTGAATCACCTCTGTCACTATATAGCAAGACATCACATAGGTTGAGATTTTGGTTCTCCCTTCTCCACTGGCCCTACTGTTATATCCTGGATTATGCATATGGGGTCTTTATATCTAATAGGGCAAGCTTCTCAACTTCCTTCTTTTTCATAATTGCCTTGATGACTTTTATTTTTTTAATTGATAAGCTGTTTTTTTAATTGAAGTATAGTTGATATACAACATTATATTGGTTTCAAGTATACAACAAAGTGGTTCAGCAGTTACACACATTATTAAATCCTCACCCCCACTAGTGCAGTTAGTATCTGTCAACATAGGAAGATATTACAGAACCACTGGCTATATTCTCCATGCTGTACTTCAGTCCTCATGACCAGCTTATATATGATTGAGATTTTTGTGCCCCTTTATCCCCTTCACCCTCCCCACCCACTCACCCCAGCCCTTCCCCCATGGTAACCACCAGTCTCTTCTCAGTGTCTGAGTGTACTGCTATTGTATTCATTTTCTTTTGTTTTGTTTTTACATTCCACAAATAAGTGAAAGCATATGGTATTTGCCTTTTTCCACCTGGCTTATTTCATGAGCATAATACCCTCTAGATCCATCCATGTTGTTGCAAATGGCAGAATTTCTTTTCTTTTTATGGCTGAATAATATTCCATTGTGTATATGCACCACATCTTCTCTATCCATTCATCTATTGATGGACACTTTGGTTGTTTCCATATCTTGGCTATTGTAAATAATGTGGCAATAAACTTAAGGGTGCATATCTTTTTTGAATCAGTGCTTTTGTTTTCTTTGGGTAAATTCCTAGAAGTACAGTTACTGGGTCAAATGGTGTTTCTGTTTTTAGTTTTTTGAGGAACCTCCATAATGCTTTCCACAGTGGCTGCACCAATTTATATTCCCACCAACAGTGTGGGAGGGTTCCCCTTTCTCCACATCCTCACCAACACTTGCTATTTCTTGTCTTTTGGATAGTGGCCACTTTAACTGGTATAAGGTATTATCTCATTGTGGTTTCCCTGATGACTTATAGATGTTTAGTGTTCATTTCATCTTTAAAGTCATTTTTTAAGTTTCACAAAATGTCCTTTCAGCATTTTTCCTAGAACTGAAGTTATAGATTACTTTGAAGAAATCTATGATATGGGGCCTTTCACCATATGACTATAACATATTGTGTCACTTTTGTTCAGGTTGGACCAATGTATCACTTCTGTATATGAGGCAGAGAAAAGTAAATTCTCATGGAGTTGGATGGAATACACTCAACCAGAATAAGAATTCTTTGGGATATTATACCACAAAAAGGGAGGCACAAAATCTACTTTGCACAGATTCATCTTAAGTATCTGTAAAATAGGCTGAAACAAAGAAAAGATGGTAACAAATAACTCTCTTGTAGTTAAAATTAAGGTAGATGAGTGCATAAACAATAAAATAAATCTGAAACCACTGGAAAATGTGTGTAGTACAAAATGTCAGAGCCGGAGGAGCAAACTTTAACCTCAACAGTTATTAAAATGATAGGCAGAAATGCAGAGCTCAGCTGAAACAGATCCTTAAGTGAAAGGAAAGAAGCATTGTAGTTCCAGAAAGAGTGAGTTAGAATATAAAAACCTACTATGAAGTCACTGCACCAGATTGAGTACAAGCTCTATGGAAGATGCCTCTAAGCTGAACTGAAGCTTTAGTAAATAGTATTAGTGAAACAGAAGTCAACCTTGGGAAGTAAAGAAGCCCCCTTTCAAGTCTAAAATTCTAGGATTCCATATGGCTTAGAGTAAATTTCCTTCTTTTCTCAGTAAGAGGATTCCTTTTTAATATAATGAAAGGCTGTATAGTTGTGCTTCTTTCATTAGTGTGATTAGTTTCATTAGATTTCCTTAAATGTTGAACTATGTACACATTCCTGAAATAAACTCCAAAAATGAATTATTATTCTTTTGGATTCCTGCTGCATTAGTTTTGCTCATATTTTATATAGACATTTTGCACTTATATTGACAGATGAAACTGGATTCTGTTTGTTTTTAAAGAGGAAGATTCATTTATTTTTGTCTGTGTGAGCATCTAGTTTGTGGTAATTCATTTAAATGAATTGGAATCACTTTTCTTCCCAAAAAAATAATTTAAATAGCACAAAAATAATGGTTTCTCAAAGATTTGAAGTGAACCTGTGAGTCTGATTCGGGGACTGTGACTGTGTGGAGTTGGGGTGGGAAGGAGTGGGAGGTGAAGGAAGTTTTTCTTAACAAAATGTGTAAGAACTCTAACACCTTTTCAAGTAATTTCCAAAGTTACTAAAGTGTCAGATAATGAGCTCAGTTGATGGGTAGGCAAATGTGAAATAACAGATGGTGAAGAGAGCATGATACAAGGTGAAGACAAATGAAGAACACGTGATTAAGGAACTTCTGCTTTTGTTTCCCTAGATCAGGAAGTGTGCTGCACCACTGGAATGAAATCTATTACTTTGTGGAGCAGTTGGCTCATAAATTCATCAGGTGAGAAACACAATGCATAGTTCTTCTGTCATGAGTAAAAACAGGCTTTGTTTGCTATTCCATGGATTACTATTTTGGGGATGCCTTTTGACGGAGGTAGACTTTCAGATGTTGGACCAGAGACTTGACTTTGTTTTAATTTTTGCCACATTAGAAAAACCTTTGGCTTCATGTTTTCAAGAGGATGCCCAATTTGGTTATAAGACCAAAATTTTAACATTCTCCCTGTCTTGTTGAGTACTATATTCTTTTAGAAGGATCATTAACATTTTCTTTCACAGTGTGCCATGCTGGGGCAAGTAGCTTAGTCTCACTGGACTTGTGTGTCGTGAGCGTAGCATGTAAGGTGGCCAACTCATCCTGATTTGCTAAGAACTTTTGTGGTTTTAGCACTGGGAGTCATACATCCTGAGATCTTCCCTCTGTCCTGGTAAACCATGATGTTGGTCAGCCTCACTCTGTGCCCTGTCAGGTAGAAATCTCTAAGCATTCCCAGTATACTTTCCAAGGGAGGACAGTGCAATTGTTAACATCGTCACTATAAGCATTGCAGGGGCCTAGGAGGCCATGCTATCCAATAGGCATAAACAGCTGCTAGTACTGCTAGGAAAGACAGCTGTTACATACTTCTGGATTCAGCCTCCCAGGAGCACTGTGATAGCTTTCATGGATGTGCTTGAGGCCAGTCATCAAGACCTGTGGTAAAATTGTTCTGGTCATTATAAATTCTAGAACAGCTCCACTCCTGCGTGATGACCTCTGTAGAATCTTCCAGCTTATGTGAGTGATCATAAAATTCATCTTGGAATAAGGTTCTTTATCTGAAAAGATAGGTTATCCTCTGAGATCAAGGTAGTGACAGACGTATTCCCTCCAAATTCACTTACTGGTCTGAACCGTACCTGCCTGCCTGACTGAAGGGAAAGGGTTAGGAGGTGTCCTCTCTGTGGTGCCAAACACTGGAAGCTGCAGCAGGAAGCATCTAAAATAGATTCTGAGAGAAGTGGGGGTGACTTGAGGAAAAGGAGAGAAGCAGATAAATACACGAATGGTATTGAAATCGAAATCAAAATATTTAAGAGAATCAGAGAATCTTAGAATCGAAGGGAACAATTCTCCAAGCTTTCCTATGAGGCATTCACCAACCCTGAACTTGATAGCTTGGGTGAGAAACTGCTGCTTTTTGAAGCAAACAGTCTAATAGTTGGACAGTTCCAGTTTCTAGAAAAGCCTTTTTGTCATTGAGCCAAAATTGCTTTTCCTGTACTCTCATCCATCTGTCCTTTGAAGTGATGGAAAACAAATCTGCCTCCAGACAGTATTGCTGTGTCTCTATTTGCTCTTCTGGTCTTACATTCCCCTGAAGCAGAGAGGTCAACTGGAAAAGGTTGTGAAGTGAGGCAGATGTGGATTTGAATCCAAGCTCCATTGTGCACACATAGCAATTTACTTTCCATGGTTGAACCCAAGTTTGTCTGTGAAAATCATAAAAGAAAACCTGGAAAACCAACCAGCCCAGCGCCTGGATCAGAGTGTGCACTCAGCACTTCTCTTTCCCAGCTCCTTCAGAAGTTCCAGACGCTTCACTATCTTAGAGTCAAAGAAAGGTAGAGGTAAGGGCTGGGGATGTTAAGGGACCACTTCATTCCAATCCTCTTGTTTTATAGAAGAAGAAACTAGGGACCAGAGAAGTTGACATAGTTGAATCCAGACCACTGGGCACTTGCCTCTGATTGTGTCCTCTGGCCCTCCTTGGCCAAGGACCCGCCTCCCCAAAGTGTGGCATGAACACATGACTGGCATGCAAATTCCAGGAGGCTCGGACTGTTGTTTTGTTGACTGCTGCCACCATGTGCCTGTAATGGTGCTTGACACATAGTACATGCTCAGTCAATATTTTGAATAAGTGAATGAACTTTGAAAAGGAATGAATCATTTTTATTTGTGCATTTTCATAAATAGTCTAGGCAGCTGGTCCTGCAGGGGGAAGTTCATTCAGTATCAGTGGCCGGTGCCAGTACAAATACATAATTTCTCTTCCCATCTCACTGACACTAGAGCCAAGCCTTTAAATGTTGGTGCTGGTTCTAGATTTGCCTCACCTCCCTTCTCACTGCCAACACTTGGTTTGAGCAGTTATATCAAATCAGTATGCCGAGGCCTCCCAAATTATGTCTCTAGCCCAGACTTATATACCAATTGCCTCTTGGATACCTCATTTCCTGCACTGCAAGTTCATTCTTTACAGAGCTGAATTTATACAAACAACGCAATATCATATAGTGATTAAGAGCCCACATTCTAGAATGAGAATGCTTTGTTTTAAGCCCCAGATCCACCACTCTTCCATCGTGTGACTTTGGGAAAATTACTTTATCTATCAGGTTCTCAGTTTCCTTTTGTGGATAATAGGAAGAATAATAATACGGATTTCATAAATTTGTGACAAGTTTAATAAGATAATACATGCAAATCACTTATAATAGCACCTGACACATAGTAAGCACTTGATAAGGTTGGCCATTGTTATATTATTATGATAATTATGATTTTTATTATTACCATGTAGGACTTGGTGTCCTGCTTGCCCAGCTGGTGAGGTAGTAACAGTTCTCTGAGTCATGAACAGAGAATTCAGGTCTGTTTCAAAAGACCAATATTCAGTTCACCAGGTATTGCTTGGATTCTTAACAGGTATTGAACACCATGCTCAGGGTCTCCAAAGATGCATCAGACAAATGGTAATGAATATAGATGTTATCCTGGAGGCAATAGGAGCTCTTGGAGGGTTTATAGCAGATGAATGACAAGATTTTTTTTTTTTGAAAGGGCATCTCTCATATTTATTGATCAAATGGTTGTTAACAACAATAAAATTCTGTGTAGGGGGGTCAACGCTCAATGCACAATCATTAATCCATCTCAAGCCTAATTCTCATCAGTCTCCAATCTTCTGAAGCATAACGAACAAGTTCTTACATGGTGAACGAATTCTTACATAGTGAATAAGTTCTTACATGGTGAACAGTACAAGGGTATTCATCACAGAAACTTTCGGTTTTGATCACGCATTATGAACTATAAACAATCAGGTCAAATATGAATCTTCGTTTGATTTTTGTACTTGATTTATATGTTGATCCCACATTTCTCCCNGCTAGACAAGGGCAATAAAACATCCACAGATGCAGAAGCTTTCTCTCAAAACAGAGGGGGGGTGGTGAGGTTCTAAGCTTCACCACTGTTGTTCCCCGATTTCTCACCTGATGGCCCCCCTGCGACTGTGCCTGTCTTAGGTTGTTCTTCCCTTGAGGAATCTTACCCGTCTCTGGCTAACCAGGAATGACAAGATTTTATTTACATTTTAGGAAAATAATTCTGGAAGCAATATGAAGAAGGAATTGGAGCAAGAAATGTGTGCTAGGAAATGTCACCAGCTAGGAAGCAGTTGCAGTGGTCACATTACTAAGGGCAAGCTCCAAACTAGGAGATGGAAAAGAGCGACAGGTTTGAGAAACATATTAGAAAGTGGGAACTATCAAACTTGGGCCAGACCAGGTATTAGAGGTTATTGCATTGTGAAGAAATAGGTTGGTGCTATAATGGATGAGCCAGGTGGCCACCCAGAGAGAGTGTGTTCATACTGGTGAACCCACTACAGTCTGACAGTCCTTCTTGTAGACAGAGAAACATGTCTGGTCCTTAGCTGAGACTTGATCTGTCTCCCAGAGTGTGGATTTTACATTGACATAGCCCCCAAGCACTGCCATTTAAAAACCTTGACAATGTTTCCATTAATAATGAAAAGTATAACTACCAAGTGGAATAGCTACTCTTGTGCTCTATCAGCACATTCTCTCCTTATAGGATAACCTCCTTGGGAAGCCAAAACAGAAATCAAAAGTTGATGGTGAGCCTACTTTCACAGAAAAATTAGTTCATTATATGATCTTGATGTTGACGGCATTGAGCTGCCACAGCCTGAGACCCTCTCTTCATTAAAGTATGCCCCAGACAGCATGGAGACACTATGAGATTTGTCTATTGGGATCCTGTTTTTATAGCCACCATGCAGACCAGCCCTCTTCTAGGGACACACTTCTTCAACAGCAGGCAAGACAGTGATGAATTTTAGCTTTCTTACCTGCAGTCCGCCCTCACTGAGCAGCAGTGTCAGATCACAAGCAGCCTCCAGGAAGACACATGCAGGGCTTCTCTGTGGTCCACAGCTGCACATCTGTGCTCCTCGATGTGGAGGCCCTCTTGGGTCATAGGTCCTCCTCTGGCATCTGTAAAGACCAGGGAGGAAGATGAGAAGGGAATGACATTCCATAGTCTTATCCACCCTGATAAAATTTCTTTTTCTTTCCAGCCCACAGTTAAGAATGTCCTTTATTGTCTTCTCTACTCGAGGCACCACCCTTATGAAGCTAACAGAAGACAGGTAAGCGTGCTTCTTGCCCCTGTCATTAAGAAGCCCATCTCTTCTTGAGTAGCTCTGATCTTTGAACCCAGTGCCAGCCTTGACCTTTTAGTCAATTTAATCTAATAGTTCTTTCTTCTCACATAAACCGTGAACTTAGCACATTGACCCATCTGCTAGTTTACTCTGCGGTAATTTCGATTGAATTTCCTGATGTTGGTGAAATTTTATAAGTGACATAAGTCACATTAAGGAAAATCTTATATTCGATTGGTGACGCAGTCTGCTAACTTGGAACAAAATGTTGGCAGACCAAATTCTTGGGAGACTATATTTTTCTTTATTTAAATTAGATTTGTTTTGTGGATTAAGGGTTCAGAGATGTAATAAGTGCAATGTAAGAGAAGAAAGAACTTGAAATATTATCATAAATAATAACTAAGGCAGGGAATAGAAAGAGAGGGCTTATGGTGCCACAAAATAAAAGGCAATTTGAATCAGGCATGAAAATATGTTGTTGAAATAAGAGGGTTAGTTAGACCTAGCTTAGCAAAAATATTATTTGGGGTTTTACCACTTGCAGATGAAAACTCACAATAAAAGAGACATGTCATTTATTTATAGTATGGCAGATTGGGTGTGGAAATGACAGTTCTCCTGAGTTAATGATACTTTGTCCACTTTTTAAAAAGTGATATGGTCCATATGAGAGAAGCACCATGGGGGGACACAGTGGGGCAATTGACAGACTTACGTACTGACATGTTGCAAAAAGTAAAGGAGAAAGTTCAAGTAAAGGGAAGACAGAAATACTTTATTCTATAACCTTCTTCTAATAAATTTCTTCTAGAAATGAGAACAGAACTACAGGGTGAACTACAGGGTGCACTGAGGTTTTCTGGATTTTGTACTGACATAGCAATCTGAGGTAGTCCCCTTTTTTCTCCATGTCTTTGTTTTCTATCTGTAACAAAAAGAGTAGTCTGTACTATATAGAAGTTTTCAAGTCCTATTTCTCCTTCAGCATGCATTATATGCTATTATAGGTGCCATTTGATATGCATGGAAACCCTATTTTAAAAGCAAAGGTTTCTTATTCCTTATTAACAGAAGGAGAACCTGAAGCCTGATGGTGTTCCTAAGGATACTGGGCAGAACCCACTCTAGATGCAGGCTCCACATTCTTTCCCCTTTATCCTGCTGCCTTCGGTTAAACAGAGAATCATAAAGCCCAAGAAACCTGGGTGGCTTTCCTTCAATATTGGCCAAGAATTTCAAGAAGTTCTGAGAAAGTGTCTCCAGCCTATGGGTTATATGAAACACTCCTGATCTCCTTGAGTATATGATGACATCATTTAGGTAGAGGTGTCTTCTATTCAGAGAAGACTCCCCTCTCACACATTCTTCACATCCTCCTACAACCGAGGCTTCCAAATGCTGGCTCCACTCCTTCCAGGCCTAAGAGTTCAGTCAAGTTCACACAGCCCTTGTGGGATTTTGTGTGCTGCTGCTCACAGCCTCTGGGAAGTTGGGGAGGGCAGGAGGGGATAATGGATTTATAAATTCTATTAGAACACCTGGACTTTCAGACCCATTTTGGTTGCACTAGTTCATATTAGTCATTTGAGTCGTATTTAGAATCTGATTTTTCTGGCCCTTAACTTCACAATTCCTAGTTTCCCATGCCACAGAAAAGACAGAGTTTAAAATCTCCCCTTTGCCTGAAGCAGCATTTCATATCAAATAGCTGAATATGCATCAGACCACAGCCACAAATGCCTTGCTAATGGTTTCATTTGATGACTGATTGGCCTAACCTATGGGTCAGCTGGCAAAGCTTCCCCAACCTGTCAGCCTATGGAAAAATGTAGGCAAGCCATCCTCTCTAACATACTTTCTCATGAGGTTGGCTAAAAGAATTAGACTTCCAGAACTTCCAAGCTGGTACTATTTCTGAAATATATGGCTTTCAGTGTTTTAGTTGAGCACAGGAATTTTTATATTTTTTTCTATACTTCATTTGATCTTTACCGTCTCCCTATAAAACAGTAAAAGATGCATTATTATACCTATGTAATAACTGAGAATACAGTTTTAAAAAAAACTTGTTGAAAAACAAGACATGAATTAGCAGAGGCTTATTTCACAAGGGCAAAAGATTTGGAGTAAATCAAAAGAATAATATCAAAGGTGTATTTGCAACCAGTTCTTGGGATCAAATCCACATTGGGGAAACCATGGGAAGGCTGAAAACATAGAATGGAAAATAATTATGGTGTGCTGAGATATAGTAAAGGAATTACAATTAGAATAATAATGCCTACTGTTTTTGTTATTTTACCAGTGAAGCACTTTACTTATCATTTCTTATTTATACCCATGTAACCATTATTACTTTAATTTCTAATGGGGTCTCGTTTTATACATAAGTAACTGCTTCCAAGGTTTTTTTATCTTTAGTTCTCAGTATGAGTATGTGTCTGGGCATGGTTTTTCTTTGAATTTACCTGTTTTGGCTTTGCTGAGCTTCTTGAGTGTATAAATTTATGTCTTTCACCAAATATGGGGAATTTGAAGCCATTATGTTTCATATATTTTTTCTGTACCAGTGGTTTTCTCCTCCCCTGCTAGGACTCCAGTGACACAAATGTTAGATCCTTTGATATTCCACATGTCTTGGAGGTTCTGTTCAATTCTTTTTTGGTCTTTCTTTCTGTTTTTCAGATTATATCATTTCCACTGATCTATCTTCATATTCACTGACTCTATCATCTACATTCTGCTGTTGAGCTCACACACTGAATTTTTTATTGCTGGTATTGTGTTTTTCAGTCCTCAAAGATCTATTTGATTCTTTTTAAATTTTCAATTTTTCTGTTGAGAACTTCTATCTTTCTATACATTACATGTGTGTTTACCTTTACCTCATGGAGCATAGTTATTACAACTGCTTGAAATTCTTTATCTGATAATTCCAGCAGCTCAGGATTGGCATTTTGTCTTCTCCCTTGAGAATTGGTCACATTTTCTAGGTGCTTTGTATGTCAAGTAATTTTAGATTGTATCCTAGAAATTGTAAACATTGTGTTGCCTAGACTGAATTATATTTAAATCCTCCGGAGAATGTTGAACTTTTTGTTGTTGTTTGCTTTAGTAGACAATCACTCTGGCTAGGTTCAGACCACAATTTCTGTTTCTGCTGTGAGCGGTGGTTTTTATTTCAGTTGAGTTTTCAAGGAATTTGCTAAGCTGTTTTGGGTCTGTCCTGCACATGTGCAGCTCAGAGATAAGCCTGAGACTTACTTGGCTTCATACATAGAATTAGAGGGATTTCCTTCTCCAGCACTCTCCTCCCCAGGATTCCCCGTACACTCTCATTCCCACTGAGGCCCTCTTTCCAAGTTCTCTACCAAGAAAAATGAGATCTCTTGGAGTTTTGGCCACCTCATTGCTGCATGCACTTCTCTACTGAGGCCACTCTTGGGGCAAAGCCATTAGTAATAAAAGAGAACTAAAAATGGGGATACCCCCGCCACATTCTTTGAAACAGAGGGGCTCTTTTGTCTAGGGGCTAGAAATATTGGGATTTTCTTTGACTTTTAGACGATATTCCCAGGCCATTGCCATGTGATTGAGAACCACACTCAGGTTAAAGCCACAAAAAAGAGGGAAAAAAATTTTTGGAATTTATCTTTGTATTGGTTATTTCTCCAGATTTTAACTACCTTTCTCAATCCACCAGCTTTGTTTACTTTTCAGAGTCCTCTTATGTTTGCCTTTTTTTAATCCAGAGTTTTTTGTTATAATAAGCAGGAGAGCTGGCCAGTAGCAAGTTTGCTTGATCTTGCCTGCTGCTACTTCAGTTTTACAGATAAGGACTCTACCATTCAATGAGTATAGATAACTTGCTGAGGTCAAGTAACAAAAATGGCAGAAGTGCTCTTCTAATCCTGGATTCTGGATCTAGTCCAACTCATGGCTTTGCATTATATCATGTTGTTCTTCTAATATTTCTTACTTTCATCAGTTTGCAAAACAAACTGTAACAAATTTTCTAGTTTTCTCATTAGCATAATAAAGAAAATAATGTTAATTTAAGTACAATTAGAATAATCATTTTACTGTTAACTACTGCATATGATTCCCTAAAAATTTCCTGGATAGTTTTTTTATGATCTTAATTGAAATACCTCAAGTGTTTGATCATTTGGAAATGAGATTATATCAAGGAAGTCCAACTCTTCCTTTAAACAAATCAGAAATAGATATTCAACGTAATCAAATGCATTTTTGGCTTCTATTGAGATAATCTTTTTTTTGTTTGTTTGACCCACAAATACAGCGAAATGCATTAAAAAGTTTTTAATATTGGGACATACTTGTATGACTGGTTGGTTATACTTGGTTGCGATAGGTTATTATTTTAATGTAAAGCTAAGTTCTACTGTGCATTTTACTCAGAAATTTAGCATCAATATTCATAATTGGGACTGGGTTGCTGTTGCCTTTTTATGACTACCTTTACTTAGAGTTTTTTTTTTAATTTTTCTTATATGTAGATCATTACTTCTAGAATTTATTCTAATAGAAGGTATGGGAGCAAGATCCATCTTTTTTCTCCAAGTGTTCAGCCAGTTTTTCCAACATCATTTACTAAATAATCTTTTATTGCCAATTTGAAATAAAAAACTGTTTCGTAGACTTTGGTCCATTGCTAGGTTTTATTCTGATCCACTGCATTTCTGTCTGTTCTTACACTAGGACCACATTATTCGAATTAGTGTTAACATCTGGAAGGCCAGCCTTTCTTCATTTCCAATCTTGGTTTTTTCCTCTACTGTGTGCATTTTAAATAATTTTTTATAAAATCTTGGGATTTTCAATTGAATTGTATGACAAGTACAGAAAATTGTCATTGCCCTGTTACTACATCTGTTTTTTTTTTTTATTTAAGGATATATCACTTCTATTTTACGTCTCTCAATAAGGTTTTGTTACTTAATTCAGATCAGTCTCATACA